ATACAGTTTTCACTGAACTTAAAAATGAAAATCATGTCACCCTATTGTAATCTGTTGGTGCCTTTTTAGAATGTAGCTTAATCATGACAGACCTTGATGTGTATTTCTTATTTAAACCCTCCTCTTTACACTTAAGCATTTTTAGAAGGGTCAGATTTCTTGTTTAACTTATATGGAACCATGTAGAGTACAACCCAGTGATATCAGAGAAGAATTAGTCTCTCACTCTATTTCCAGTGCTTAGAAAGCTCTCATCGAGTTAGATTTTGCTGATGCAAAGTTTACAGCCTCCTGGCACTGAAAACTAGACACACAAAACAAGTTACAGATGATGAAGATAAAGAGTATGGTTTCTTTTCAGGGCTTTGAAAAAGAATCACTTAAACTCTTACTACTGAATAGAGTAAGCCTAGAATCCTGTTTACATTCCAGGGAAAAGAAAGTCTGCATTTGTTTCATGGCTTAAAGCATCTGGTTTATACATATTACATTGCAGTAGTGATATTGAAAAGTTGTCGCTTGCCTGACGTTTTTACTGTCCTATGAACAGGAATCAAGTTTTAAAATACTGCTTGAAGATGGCTGTGCTAACTAATGTCAATGCAGGAGCAATATTTTTACCTGTTTCTAGATGACAGTGTTACTAAAATTTCTAAAATGAAGGCATTTGTTTAGTCTCAGTTACTTAAGAAAAATATAAATTGTAAAAAGGACTCAGATAAATCACGAACTCAGAGGAACTTTCAGATCGTCATTGTTCAGAAGCCAAATAAGTACAATGGACCAAAAATAAAATAAAATTAATGTGACAAGTGACCAGATACCCCGGGGGCTTTGCATGGCTCCCCGAGAGCCAGCGCATCCAGAGGCTTCAGGGAGAAAGTGGAGGCCGAGCTGCTTTAAACACCCATCGGCCTGTGTCTTTCCTTTCCTGGAACCAGCCCCGGCCCCAGAGAAGGGGGGCCAGGTGTGCTCGGGGGATGAGGCCAGCACAGCCCACAGGCCGCTCCCCTCCTGGCATCACACCACGGACTTGGTGCCTCCCGGCTGCTCAGAGCAGCCTCAGAGCAGGTGTTCCCCTCCCTGGACCCTACGAGGGCTGCACTGAGGGTACCCTTTCCCTTTCCTCCCCCGACGGCTGATGTTGGCACCTCCGCCACAGCATCGTGGTTGCTGGTGTCTGGCATCGGGAGCTCCCTCACATTTAGTGATGCTATAGTGGTTTATAGTCTCTGTGGTTTTGGTTGGTTCTGTTTATGCTTTGGGGGTTTGGAGGGGAGAGGAGAACTTGAGATTTTATGTATGACTTTAAACAGTCGCTTGTGAAATCCCATCAGACATGCATGTGCAGAAACAGGTTCAACACAGAGTGATAAAACAGGTGACAGATACCCGCCCCCAGGTAGGACTGCTAGCAGTTCCACTGAAGCCCCTTCGGGGCCTCCTGATCACTGACCCCCCGCCCACCCCAGAGGAAGCTCCTTCCCTGCGTTTCTTTCAGCCCTCACTTTTCTTTATAGTTTCACCACATACGTGTGTGTCTGAGCATCATTTTAGCTTTGCTCACATTCGAATGTTGGATTCCATGGTACAAATTTTGTGATTGGCTTTTCCTGTTAAACATGGAAGATGGGAATGGGAGAGTTTTGTCTGGAGGGTTGTTTGATCCGGAGGTTTGGAGACATTCATTTGTTCTATGTACTGCAGGAAGGTGAGAGAGAGAGGTAGGCACCAGTTGGCCTTAAGATGTTTCCTCTATACTTTCCCTTGAAATACCAGGCTTTTCAGTGGCTCGGCCGAGATGCTGGCATGTGAAGACAGGACAGGAGCATGTGGTGGTTCACCTCCACGCACAGATGAGCGGAGACAGGCAGTGCTGGGCGGCAGGGGAGGCCGTCTCTGTGTCCTCTCTCCCACGTGCCATCCCGTGGTCGGGCCTCTCCTCCAGGCTGGCCCGGGCCTCGCTCCAGCGACACCTTTTAGAGTCACAAGCCAGCCGGCAGACTGGGGAGTTCGTAGGCCAACTGCCACCTGTGTCTGCAGCCCTTTCCACCTGTCTGTGCTTCTGCTGACAAAGCTGCATCAGAAGGTACATTCCCTGGTGGTCCAGTGGATAAGACTCCGCGCTTCCAAGGCAGGGGGCACGGGTTCAGTCCCTGGTGGGGGAACTAGGATCCCACGTGCTGCGTGGTGTGGCGGGGAGAAAACAAAACAAAACAAAAAACATTTGCAAGGTGCAGCCACCCCAGAAGTATAGCTTCCTACCTTTGTTCTAGTTGGAATTCTGTGCAAACGTAAATTATCCTGCGAGTCCTTCACGACCTGAGTTTGAGCCCCAGAGAGCCTCTGGGGAAGCAAATGGTGTTTTGGAATCATACCTCCCTCTGGCTCTCTTCCCTACGACACCTTTACCTACAGCAGAGAGAGGCCCCGTTGGTCGTCGTAGCAAAGGCATAGGGTGCAGAAGCAACTGATGGCCTTGGGAAGAGCTGTGAGAAAGCGCCGTCCTCATTTTGGACAACGTGTGTCCTGGAAGCCTCCAGGCGTTGCTTGGACCTGACACCAGCGAGCAGCCCAGCTGAGGGCTGTTTGGAGAGCCCCAACTGCGGGCAGGGCTCTTGGCCTGGCGTGTGGGAGGATGTGCACGCCGTGAGGGGCACGAGGCTCCCGGGGCAGAATGCCGCAGCACCCAGGGGAATCCTCCCCGCCCCCGCTGCTTCCGGGGACCAACAGAGGAAAATGAGGAAATCCCCGTTTCCTCCCGCGGCTTTTGGTCCCTTAGCTCTGAGGACAGAGCCACGTTGGGGGCCGTTCTCAGTTTATGCTGTACCTTCGGTGGCCCAGCGACGTCTCCAGCTAATGGGAGGTCATTTAAGTAAATGGCACTCACCGTACCGTCTGGACAGAGACAGCGTTTAAGTCAGGGCCTAATGCACGCAACTCCGGAGAAACGGCCCCTGGCACTCTCAAAGAGGCTGCGAAGTGCCATTTGCAGCGTTTGCGCGTTAATCTCCGGTCTCAGAGGGCGCTGGCAACAAGGCTTATGCCTCCCCTTCTCAGAAAAGGCCGGCAGAGGCCAGGGAAGAGGAAGAGAGGCGCCCTCCAGGCCAGGTGGGCCCTCACTCAGACCCACACCATCCATCTCTTGCTGTCCCGTGGATCGCACAATTCCAGAGATCTCTTTTGCTTTAGTTAAAAAAGTGACGGCATACTCGAATCCCCCTGCCTCTGCTCACTTCCATTTCCTACCTGGTCACCCTGCTGGGGACCCTCGTCCTTCCCTCCTCGCCCGCCGGCTTCTCTCCCACTAGGGGTCGCCAGCGCCTCTGCGCGGCGGCGGCGGCGGCGGCGGCGGCGCGGGGCGTGGCCGGCAGGTGGGGAGCGGGGAGAGGCGGGGAGAGGCGGGGCCGAGCAGGGCGGATGCTGAGATTCCCAGACCCACCGGAGGAGCCTGACCGACGGGTCTGAGTCAGGGGTTTCTGCGCTTGCAGGGGCTGCCTTCGGGAGCACACCGGGAAACCAACTAACTGCCCGCAGCACGTATTGCGCTGCCGCCGCTGGTTTCCGTGTGCGATGGGGTGAGGCGTCACCTCCCCAAACGCTTGAACCAAGTAGGTGCGTAAAGACGGGCCAAGCTGGGAGGCGGTTCAGTGTTTCAGACCCGCGAGCGCAGTGTAAGGTCACAGAGCTGCCAGCCGTGAACTCTGTCGCCGAATCAGAATAACACAGGCTCCATCACGGAGCCGGGAGGGAGCTCGGAATCAGAGCTGACAGCTAAGAACGGCTGTGGAGGTGGCGTCCACCAAGTGTTTTCCCCACTACCGGGGAAACTGAGGCCCAGGGAGATGGGGACACGCGCCCCATTCAGACCCGGCTTCCAGCCCCTCACGATGGTGGGGTCCTGCAGGGGAGAAGGTTCTACGTGAGACAGAGGGAGACATTCTGTCTCTCACCGACTGTTAGAGACTAGTCCCCAAATATGATAAAAGCCCAGAAAGAACATGCTGGAGACATTCTTCCCAGATTAACCTTTTGCTGACAACCTGGACAAGGGGGCCTCAGTAGGACAGTCGTAGAGCCACCTAGTTCCCTTGACCATCCCGTCTCTTGCTGAGAACCCCGACTTGATTGTTCGGAGGCCTTGGCTCCGGACACCATCCTCCCCAGGACCGACGGCAGCAGACTTGGCTGAGAACTTGGCGAAGCTCTTGCTTGAAAGGCCAGTCACACGCGTCTGTGGGAGGAGGCCGCGGCCGCAGCGAGGCCTGGCCTCGTACGGGTGGCCTCACCTCCCACCCCTCAGCAAGCGAGTGGCACTTGGCATTAGGCCGCCCTGCTCACTTAATATTTCACTCCCTCAACAACTGTCTTCCTAAATCGGCTCTAAAGAGCCTTAGGAAACAAAGAGGTGTGGGCACGAACCAGTCTTCCCCCCAAAGCCCAGGGTGAGATTTTCAATGCAGGGTATGGAAAGGGCCTCCCTCCGGCTGCACGTGCAGCCGCTTGGTGCAGGCACGAGGCCCTCACCCTTAAACGCTGCACACTGTCCGCGGCATCACAGAAACCAGTGATTATTCCAGACAAGCTGCCAAGGAGAGGGTGGGCTTGAGCACTCGTGACACCAGACCGCCAATGAAACGCAAACCCGCTGCGACTTCCCGGCCCCTCAGTCCCCACAGTAGGGTCCCCGAAACCCCAGAGTAGCTGCCAGCTGAATTTGCATAAAATGGGCTGGACCTAAGGAGCCTCCCCAAATCCCTGCACTGAATCAACGGGATCCCACATCACTGAGGTCTCTGACGGCTTCCCCCAGTGGGCAGGGCTGGAATTTGGAGCTCCCTGGGTCTCAGGCCCCTCCCCAAGCAGATGGCACCGGGACTGGTGTTGGGTTGACACCAATAAATCAGTGACATGCAGATCGGAGCCCAGGCTCCAGCCCAGGGGACTCTGACTGCTTCTGTGACCAGGGTCTCCTGTTTGCGCAACAAACAGCCCCGCGATACCGTGCCAGAAGTTACACTTTTATTTAACATTTAGAGGATTAACATATAGTTACAAGGTCAATATAAGCCTTCCAGTGGAAGCACTTTATTTGGTTTAATTCCATCTCCAGAGACAAATGGGCAGTTCCATAACCTTTACAATGGCGACGGGCCACTTACAACACTGAAATGCCTCCAAAGTTTAAAATTACTGCAACACACACAGATAAACCAAGAAGTTTAAAGGTGCTGACACCAGGTTAAAATAAAATTTTGGATCACTTTTTAAAGTTTTTTTTGATGTAAGCACAGGAGGCAGACCCCTTAGGAAGTATGAAATCGACATTTCTGCAAAAATACTTAGCATCAACATAACTTTTTCATGTTCAGTAAACTTTTCCCCAGTAATTACAGATGTTACCAAAAGGCATCAGAGGCCTCTGCGCTACTGCTGGAGAGACAGGCTGCTGGCACCCAAAAGCTTCAGGAAGATCGTGATATAAACCCAAAGGGCAATCCCATTACAGCTTTCCATGCCTTTATATTCTTTCCTATCCTGCAAATGAAAAATTGGGTAAACGACAGGTTCCTCTCTTTCATTTTAAGTTATTTTCAGGGTAGCTTCTTTAAAAATGAGTTATTCTTACAGCACAGCAATATCCTAGCATTGGTGGAGAAGTGACGGGCAGTGGATACGAGGGAAGGCTGAGAAAGAAGCACATGGGAAATACCACGTTTCTACTCTATGTGAACTGCTCTATAGTAATATATAGATGATTTCACAGTAGGACTCCCAGAGTAAGTGATATATCTCAACTATCCTATAATAACTTACTTCCTTTACTAAGCCCAGCTGGTACAGCTTTGCCCTTTCCCCATAGCCACACAGACTGTCAGAGAAGCAAACACCAAGGTTAACATTGAAAAGCACTCATTTATCCATTCTTTTTTGGACACAGGTGGTACAGAGAAAAAAAAAGGCACAGGGGATACAAGAGGATACCAGCATATTCTATTTCGGGTTTAACAGACATTAAAAGAACAAATTACTGCACTTTATGCCTTTTCCCCTAGGTTGTAAGAAATTAATCTATCCTGGCCCCTAATATGAAAGATGCAATGCACATGCATTCCCAAGGCTCTAAAGTCAGATTTTAAAAAAATGTGTAGCATCCTTGTAGAGTGAAGAGTGGGCAGCTGGACTTGGTGAGATTCAGAAGTTGCTGGAGACACCCGGTCACCCTGCCACTGGGACTGTCCATAGGAACCACGCACCTGCTGGTTTGCAGGGACACGGGTGAGGCCCTGACTCTTCTCGCCCTTTGGCATCCTGGCTTCACCGTCATCTGCCAAGACAGTCCCCTCATGAGACTGAGGAGTGTGTGACAGTGGGGCCGCCCCTTGGGTGTTAACGGAGCGGCCCCCAGATGCCCGCAGCTGCAGAGGCTCCCTCTGGGGGAAGAAAGAGCGAGGGGGTGACTCACGCTTGCTCAAACCTGAAGCCACTTCCTCTTCCCCTGCTTTTTGCCCTTGGTATTTGCTCCCTCTTGGTTTCTTGTCACCAAGGGTTGCCTCAGCCACTCTCAGAGGCTGGTGTGTGGTCAACCCTGGTTTGCCGAGAGGAACCGTTTTCCTACCACTGAACAAAGGCCCAACCCTCAGGACCTGTCCTTTCTGTCCTTGTCCCTTCGGCTCCTGTAAGATTTCCTTGTCTTGATTCATAAGGGTTGAGAAGCAATGAGGATGCTCAAGGTGACCTCCTGGTTACCAAAAGCCAAACAAAAGAGGAAAGATGCCTGGTGGCATCATGCCTTGGGCTTCTGACGGCATCCTCGCTCACAGAAACTCACAGCCAATGATTTCTCTGGGCTTTTTCTGCACCGAATAAGTACAGAAGCTATGCTGCTCTAAGGCATGAGTGACCACAGGGTACATGACCTCACGTCTTCCTCAAAGACCCATAAGAGGAAGGAAATTTAGCTCAAAAAACAAACTTGATTAATTCCACTTGGCCTGGAGAGCAGGTGGGAAAATGTGGCAGCTGTAGCCACGGGATCACTTGATGAAGCACAGGGTCTTTGGTGACGAAAGCGCTAGAATCCCTAAGATGCGGAGCTCGGACTTCACGGAAAGGGGAGAGTCTTCCCGTGGCAATGAGCTAACGCAGAGGTGAGACCCTCGTTCACGGTCTGCAGTTCTCATTAACAGGCGGCCAACGGGGAGAAGGTGGGCTGGGGCCTTCCTTGACCCCATGAAAGGTGGACACAGGCAGGACAGCAGGGCTGGCCCAAGAGCTGGAATTTGACTTTCGCTGTGGACTTTTCCAGGCCACTGAAGACAGGGCCCCAAACAAAAACGTGTGTACGTGTGTGTATGTGAGTGTGCGTGTACATGCCCCAGTGCCCGCCACGGACACTCTGAGGCTGTGAAACGTTTCAAGGGCCAATTGTTTAGTATGAGGTGAGGACGCACAGTCAGGAAAGGACCACCGAATACCCAATGGACTGGGGAAAAGATGAGTATTTTCTAACGTAAAGGACACAGGGACACATGAGTGACATTCGGGCGCCCAGTCCACCTGGTGCAAGCCTGACCCTCCTGGTTCAGATGCGGTTCGTCTCCCCGGGAGACCAGTGGCAAAGTTTTCACGAAAGGCACAGTGTGAATTGTGGACGGGCCGGGATGCGCCAGATGGACTGAGGGCCGAGGCCCAGGAAGGAGGGACCACGCGTCAAGCCGCCTTCTGTGGCCCCGAGTTGGACGGGGACCAAGACAGGGACAGACCTCCCCGCAAGAGGCAGCCAGGCTGGGCCAGGGGAGGAACCAGGCTACGAGGAACATGCTGTAAAAAGAAAAGAAAGAAAAAGGCAAGCCGCTGCACGTGGGGATGGATGTCGCTTCAGGCTTAGGTTCCGAGGGCCACACACCAGCAGAGCCCCAAGGCGCTGGCGGACACCCAGGCCTGTGGAGACAAGCAGACCGAAGGGTTTCTCCTGGGAAGGCTCTCCCGAGGCTCTGGCTCCCGGAACCATCTTTAGGAATCTACAACACAAAAGACAGAGAAAGGAAAAGGCTGTTAGAGTGGCGGGCAGCAGGTCAGGGGCGGGCGCTCTGCAGCTCAGTGCAAACTGCACCGCCCTGGGGAGGGGGGAGGGGAGGGAGCACATTTAGAGCAATGGGTTACCACAGGGCGAGTCTGAGATAAGGAACTTTCACGGTTTTATCTGCAATCAGAGCAGCTAGTCTTTCCTTCAGGGGTAAGAGAAGCCGCCCAGGAGATGATGCACCCATGCACCCGAACTCATCTTTCTCATAAATTGAGTTCTGAGACAGAGAAAGAAACCAGCTTCCCAGAATGATGCCGGGAGCCCAAAGGCCTGGTTCTCTCTCCGACTGACACTCTCAGTTCCTTGGCAGTAAAAGGCAACATCTTTGGTGAAAAGGAAAACCTGTCACTCAGCGTTTACTCAGCAATAAACAGTGAAAGTTCTTCATCTTGAGGGGGCAGAAGAGAAACAGGAGACAGACTCCTCAAGCCCGGAGGTGAACACAGGGTGAGAAACAGAGAAGGTGTCATCATATAAAAGGGGGAAAGGGCAGGAATTTTTTTTTTTTTTTTTTGAAAAGCATTTGTTTAGAAAATTCCCCATTATTGAAGACGAAAGAGTTAAATACTCGGATTACACAGAATAATTTTCTCGGAGAGGGGAAAAATCATTTAAAATACACAACACTGAGAAAAATATAACGTTTATTAGAGAGGCAGATACGAGGGTACAACTAAAAGGAGCCAGACAGATTCTTTTCTTGTAAGATAAGGAGAGAGAGAAACAGTCATGTTGGCCATATTCAAACAGAACTTACTCAGAACCCAAGTGTCTACAATAAACTCAAGTGTGGATCAGCTGGCAGGGGACCTAGCTACCACTGTAACCGTCCTTCCGGCTCCCCCAGCGGTTACAAAAACAAAAAGGTCATTAGGCATCAGAATCACCAATAAAACAAACACAAAGAAGAGTAAAACATTAAAACAACGAATTCAAGTAATCGTTTTAGTTTTTCTATTGCAGTATATACAAATCTATTGGGGCAGGGGGCGGTTATGGGTATATTTCACAGAGAGCAATTTAAAAAAACAAAAACAAAACCATAAAAGAGGACAGTCACAATTCAGTTGACCAGTTGGAACTTACTCTAGTCTAACTATTTTGGCAATTATTAAATAGTCACATGGTAGACACCACACACACACAAAAGTGCTCTGGCATTACTGACAATAAAAAACTCCTTTTGAGTTACGGGCATCGGAAAGCAGCAGCCCCGCCCACCTGGGACGGGCTTAAGGAGAGGGCAGTGTTTATGGAGCAGGCGGAACGGATTTATAAACAAGGCAGGGAAGGAAGGCTTCGACATACATTATTAACCTCTAAGTGTATCTCTAAACAAAAGGAGAAAAATTTATACACAAGCTGAGACTTTGCTACTTTCATTTTAACAGATAACTGTTGGAAGAACACAAAGTATACTTCGGGTGGAAATGGAAATTTGTGATTCTCTGGGAATCAAGACTTCTGCTAATCCTCTGCGCATTGACTAGATGGACCTGAAACTACAAGATATCTTTCACCGTTGAGTCGCTAGTACATAGCTGGTAAAGGTACTGAGGCATACAGCCTAAAATAATGATCATCATTTATGAGCCCAAATTGCCCCTCCCACCCCCGAAAGCCAGCTGAGCTCTTTCCTGAATCAGATTTGCACAACTCTAAAGAGGAGGAGGGGAAAACAAAAGAAACACCACCAACCAACTTGGTGGAGTGCCGTACTTTTCAAGTCAGGCTTTTAAAAGACTCATGTTATCCTGCCTCATTTTAAGACTTTTTCAGTGCTTGGTTTGCTGTCTCCAATAATTCACAGTCTGGAAATGAGTTCATCGCAGGATAGAAAGGTTAGGTTTTAATATCTTAGGGATTCACTTGGTTACCTGCCCAAAGCTGTGACCACCTACTGCCCGTCAAATCCCCACGGTCAGCTGGTTTTCTTGCTGCAGTAGTTAAAAGGAAGAACTGAAATGACTCTCCTGAGAGGTCTGGGGTCAGGGTCAGTGGCTTTATCAATATTACGGCAGCAAAGGTATAATAAAGCAAAAGAAATCTGAATTACAAAATTATATTTAAAATAAAATCAGGCTGGCCAGGGTCGGTTTCCCGCTTTTGATATTGGACCACAGTTGTGTCAGATGCAACCACTGGGGGAAGCTGGATGTAGGGGATCTCTCTGCTTTATCTTTGCAACTTCCTGAGAATCCATAATTATTTCAAAATAAATAATGTTTTAAAAATCAGACAGTCACAGCTTCCCTGGTGGCGCAGTGGTTGGGAGTCCGCCTGCCGATGCAGGGGACGTGGGTTCGTGCCCCGGTCCGGGAAGATCCCACATGCCACGGAGCGGCTGGGCCCGTGAGCCATGGCCGCTGAGCCTGCGCGTCCGGAGCCTGTGCTCCGCAACGGGAGAGGCCACAGCAGTGAGAGGCCCGCGTACCTCAAAAAAACAAAACAAAACAAAAATCAGACAGTCATTAAGTAAAGGTTACTAAATTCCATCTTGGCGGCCGTCGGGAAATGTAAGAGAGCTCTCTGCTAGACGCTGCAGCAGTCGCCCATAGCTCCTGCCAGCTCCTAGACCCCTGATATGCCGCTGTCAGTCTTAAAATCAGCTTTAAGTTGATCTGACATTCTAAAAGGAGCCCACAGTGTAGAAGCAAGGAGCTAATATCCTGTTTAAGAGTAGGAAGGACATGAATAAGTAATTTTCAAAGCCAAATAAAAAGAGAATCTCAACCCCATACCTTTATTCTGACTCACTTTTAGCTGGTTCTCTGTGATCTCAGGGAAGATTCTAGAAATGAGCACAGCCATTGGGCATGTCACCAATTTCACTACCTATCCTGCCAATTTAAAAATGCAAATCCCCATGTGACCCAGATTCTTTGAAGATGGTGAACCATAAAACGAGCTAGGAATTCTAAAACAGTTTTCAGTAAATTCACACTTTGGGTCTTAAAGATGCCAATGATTAAAAAACAAACCAAAAAACCCTTGAAAAGTGACGTGCTGGGGTCTGTGTGTAGAAGCAGTTGCTTACAGGGGTCTATTCACAGCCCCACCTGGGCAAGTATGAACGGAATACAGCTCCACCTCCCACAAAACCTCCAACAGAACAGAATGAAGTGAGCTGTTTTTATGTAAGTTTATCTAAACAGCACTAGCCCGTCTGATCAGCTCTGTCAACTGGCAGAAGGAAGGAAGATCAGTAGTCATATGTAAAAATCAACTGGTTGATCGACCAAAGTTTTCCATATTTCAATTGGTTGCTTAGGATCATGTAGACGTAACCTGAAAACACGGTGATCTAACAATTATCTTAAACATGTTTAAGGAAATATACACACTTTTGGTACCAATCTTATTCTTTACTTATTCTGTACTTCATTGATGACTTCCTTCGAAGTAAATGACTGTAAAATTGAACAAACTAGCGTAGTTCAGTTTATGAAGTTACAAAATGTAACATTCTAAGGTAGTTCAATTTCTGGCAGGTACTACATATAAATAAGAGAACTGAAGTCTTCTGCACCCCTAGGATGTGCATGCACTTTTAGATTCAGAAATACGGATTAGAAGCTAGAAGGCAACTTTTTGGTTATCTACAGATGCTGCCCAAGAAGAAATGTTTATCAGATTTCAAAGGACACAGTCGTACATTGGCAGCTGGCAGCTTTCCAAGTAAAATGTCATTAGCAAGTGAAACTTGATTATCGTCAAAACCAGCCCAGGAAATTCAGGTGTAAGATGCCTGAAAGTCCACCTCGTCCCTAAAAGAAACTGCGACGCTCCCCATGCAGTCTTTTGAAGAACTGCCTGTAACAGTCATAGTTGTGGGGAGAAACAACTCCAATGTTTTAAAGTTTTTTGTGTTTGGTTTTTAAGTTGTATTAAATATAAGTCTTAGCACCTTTGGCATTTTTGTCCAAATAGACTTCGACGTATGAAGTGGGGACGTAACCCTCTTCGTCTTCACTTCTCCGGATGCGGGTCCACCCGTCACCTTTGTCTTCCTCTATAACGTACAATGTTTCTCCTTCAACTACTGAAATGGTTCCTTCGTTCTGACCTGAAAAAGCAATATCAGAGTACTTTAGGTTTCTTGTCAAATCCGGGTTGAGAGCACAGCTTTGCAACGACGAAGCAAGTGTAGGGAAAGATGGACGCACTGACCCTTCTGCTCTCCTCCCACACAGAAGCTTCCAGGTCCTCACCTGGCGTCTCTCTAGGACCCTCTTCTAACTCCTCCTGGGAGCCCTCTCGTTCCTCCCTCCCAGAACAGGAGGTATTTTCCGCAGAGGAAATCTTGGGTCTGCTTCTCTACTCTTCCCTGAAGGTACTCCTATGGCGTCAATTACATCTCTTTACACAGCACCCCGACTTTTCTTTCTCCTGTTCTGGTTCTCGTCTGAGGCAAGGTTCCACTTCGCCTTCTGCCTGAAGCCCGTTTCCACCTTGATGGTACCCGGGCACCTGGAACGCGATAGGGGTGAACCCGGACTCACTGTTTTTCCTCCCACTTTCCCATTTCAGTGGACATCTCCATCATCCCAGGAATGCAACTTCAGGGATCATCTGTGATTTCCTCCCCTCTTTGTATACTGGCTGCAGCATCTCTGCGTCCATTCCTTAATCAAGGCCCCGAACACCATTTGCTAAGATAATTTCAAAAGACTAGCCGCCATCGCCCAAGCAGTGTCCTGAAAGGCAGACTGTTTAGGGGGCTGTTAATAGCGGTACTGTGGGCGCGGGGGGGAGAGGGATGGTGTGGCCGTGAAGTAAAACCGGGAACATTTAACCTGGTACTTCCCTTTCTTATTTTGTCATAATGAATATTTAGTTTATTAAAGGCTCTAAAAGTCCTAGAGTAAAGGGAATTCCCTGGTGGTCCAGTGGTTAGGACTCCGTACTTCCACTGCAGGGGGCCCAGGTTCAATCCCTAGTCAAGAGAACTAAGATCCTGCAAGCTGTGAGGTGTGGCCAGAAGAAAAAAAAAAACAAAAAGTCCTACAGTAAAGAAATTCATTTATCCCAGGGCTTCTGAAAATGATCAGAGCTCTGATTGCTTCTTTCACATCGTCCTTATCAGCATCCTGCAAGATGCCGTTTCAAGGCTCACAGTTTAGGAAACACCAGGCTAGTCTTTCTAACCAATTTCCCTGTCTTCTAACCGATCCGACACATACAGTAAATGTCTCAAGGTACAGCTCTGCTCGTGTCAGCAACCCGCTCAAATACTTTCAGTAGCTTCTCGACGTTTGCCAAATAAAATCCAGATGTTTCTGTTACCCATACCCCCCCACTGGCACCGCCTACCCCCTCATCTTACCACCTAGGACATCTGAGCGCCAGCCATACGAACCCCATACCTTCCTCGCTCCACGCTTGACAGTGCCCGTGCCTCTGACACACTTCAGCACGGAGAGTTCTCCAAACCCCCTTAAGGAAGTGGTCTCTTCCTCGCGTGAATCCCCCGTCACTCTGTACCCCTCCTCTGGTGAATATTGCAGGCGGCCCTCTCTCTACGTGTGTCTGCTTTATTTCCTCCAAAGGTGGATGCCAGAACATACCATCTGCCTGCCACCCTTTCAGGGGTCTTTACAAGACAGAAGTTCTATAAGTATTGAATGAATGGATGAAATAATCATTATTCCACACTGTCTGCTTCAGTTAAGCTCACTGAAAGTTGCTCGAATGTACAGCCATCGACTGTACATAATCGTAAACACAAATACCACGAGCAGAGCAAAAGAGCGATGAGGGAAAGCTCTGGGTGACTTCAAAAGAAAGCCTGATCACAGAAAGAGAAGAGTGACTCAGACAGTTCACGAGAAGTGGGGGGAATTAGGTGAGACGCGGTGTTACCTTCGAACGTGTAGAGAGCTTTACACGTCCCTATGGCGGGGAGGGATTCCTCGTCATCAAACTCATCGTCGAAATCCGTGGCCAGCACCTTGACCTCACTCTCCTGACTCTGCTCCTCTGTGTAACTGCCATCCGGGCTGCTCAAGAAAGCAAAACACACAGCAACTATAGCCACTGACCCCAGCGAGGGCTTGAAATCAGCCCCCCGCGACAGCAAACTGCTTGCAACCCGCCCCCGTCCCCATCCCCCGATTGTTGTAACTAGGACCATCTTCAATCACCCCACAGGCTCGGGCACCATCCACGGGGACTTAGACACCTGCACCGTGGGAAACATCACAGGCCAATCATCCCAGACGCTTGGGATCTAACAAGTACCTTGTGCTCGTCTCTGATTCCAGAATTGACAAAAAAATACAAAGTCAAAAAAAACCAGGCGCCGTACAGATACTGTACCTCTCCCGATCCTGTGCACAGTTGTTGACGGCTGGGGGGTTCTGCACATCGTACATGCCGCTCTGCCGACGGGCCTGTTCGCTGCGTGCTGGGAGTCTGCCTTCAACCTCGGCCAGCCAGGCCTGCAAACAGAAGGCATGAAAGCATGGTCTGAGCTCAGCTGAGGGCCTGACCGTGCAGGCTTCAGGCCCCAAATCGGGGCTGCTCGCTGGTCATTGAAGCAGACTGGAGAAGGACCCCGTGGGGGCAGAGTCTCCAGTTTGTGTGCCTTGACTGTATAAATGTACTCAAAGGCAAAGTTGGAGAAGTACAGGCAAACATATTTAGCCACTGCTCATAATGTGGCAGAAAGACACTGGCCTCCGTTATACTCCTGGGCTTTTTCAGCAGCTGTGTGATTTTGGTTAAGTCATTTCTAGTTCCTTCTGGTTCCAGAAATTCTGTGACCATGAGGTCACACTGGGAAACATGAGGGTTCCTGCCACACTTAAGCCATGACTCAGTTTGAAAGCCACACTTCCCATTTTTGTTAAGGAGTGTAACGTGTTTTTTTTTTAAATAGTGAAGAAAACTCATACATAGGAAATCAAAGTAGATCAGAGTATCTTCAGCAACATTGGAAATAGTGTAAAAGAGGCAAAGAATCAAAATGATCCGAAAAGGACATTTCTAGGTTCTAAAACCTCAAATGCTAATACCTTATTGATTCTAGAAAGAATGAAAAAAGCCATATTTGACCTTTTATTGCTAGAAATAATCTATTCTGGTTGGAACACTCAGTTACTAATTTATTTTTCCAGTCTTTGTAGTCTTTCCAGTCTTTGTAGTCTTTACATTTCGAGGGGTAAAAGAAGCCTTCTGCCCACAGCGGTTTTTTTTTGTTTTTTTTTTGTTTTTGCAGTACGCGGGCCTCTCACTGTTGCGGCCTCTCTCGTTGCGGAGCACAGGCTCCGGACGCGCAGGCTCAGCGGCCATGGCTCACGGGCCCAGCCGCTCCATGGCATGTGGGATCTTCCCAGACCGGGGCACGAACCCGTGTCCCCTGCATCGGCAGGCGGACTCTCAACCACTGCGCCACCAGGGAAGGCCTGCCCACAGCTTTTGAGTGCCCTACTCCCTCCTTAAAAGATTTATTATTTGTGTTTCTTTCTCATTTCTTATGTGTGTTTCCTGTTGTTTTTCACATATATCATCTTTTGATACTGGATCCTTTGAAAGAACAGTAACATATTTCAATGGTCCCCCCCCCCCAGAATTAAACCCTTGTATTTATGATCAATTGATTTGCGACAAAGGGGCCAAGACAATTCAAGGAGGAAAAGGCCTTTTCAACAAATGGTGCTGGGACAACATGAAAAAGAATGAAGGTGGACCTCTACCTTTAACCATATACAAAAATTAACTCAAAACGAACCGTAGACCTAAATGTAAAAGCTAAAACTATAAAACTTAGAAGAAAACATAAGCATAAATGTTTGTGATCTTGGGTTAGGCACTGGTAACTTAGCTATGACACCAAAAGCACAAGTGACAGAAGAAAAAAAAAATTGATTCCATCAAAATTAAGACTTTTGGGGACTTCCCTGGCAGTCCAGTGTTTAGGACTCGGTGCTTTAACTGCCGTGGCCCGGGTTCAATCCCTGGTCGGGGAACCAAGATCCTGCAAGCCGTGTGGCATGGCCAAAAAAACAAAAACATAAATAAAACTTTTGTGTTTCAAAGGACACCTTGAAGAGAGTAAAACAACAATCCACCGAATGGGAGAAAATATTTGTAAATCCTAGATCTGAAAAGGAATTTGCATCCAGAGTATATTTTGAAAACTTTTACACCGATACCAAAGCCAGGCAAGGACATTACAAGAAAATTACAAATATCAATGGCTTTTTAAAAATTGTCTTTTGGATTCACTGAGATGATGGACGACCGTATATTCCCAATTATACCCACTGTCAACAGGAGATGAAGTAGAACAACTTAAGTGAAACACTTAGATGAAAAAAAAAACAACGAACACTGTATACAAATATAACCTTAAATAGTGTCCCTTTTAAGGGACACCATTAAAATAGGATATGCTGAAAAGCTGAACACCCAGTGGATGACAGTGTCTTTTTCCTTTTATCGTAACTCGTGAGACACCTGATTTTTCCAGCTGCATCTCTCGCGGGGAAAGAAACAATGGCGATTTACAACCATGTGCGTCTCGTGACCCCCTACACCCACTTCTATTTCTTTTTTTTCCAACAAAGCTTTTCCACAACAGCTTCTTCCTACCTCAAATTTCTGGGCCTCCAGTCTCAGTTTTTCTATATTTTGGCTGACTTCTGCTAATTTGTGATCCAAACTGGCGGGGTCTCCCATTTGCGGATTCTTTAGGTAGACATCTTTCATTTTTGTGATGGCATCTCTGAAAAGAAGGGGCAGAGCGTGGTAAATGTTAATGCTGTCGTCAGCCAGTCATATTCTCCCACCACCATGAAAACTACGGCAATGAGGGCGTGGCGAGACTGCACCGCGGTGTGGATTGGAGGGGGATACTGGGTCAGCCTCCCTTCTAAAACGTCTCTATAAGGATTCTGCTACCAAGGTCTGTATGATCCAGAGACCCATATTTAAATTCCAGTTGCCTTTTCTGAACGAAATCTCCCTCTTGTCTTTAGCGATTGAGAAACGTAAGTTAATCCTGCACATCACTTTGCCCTACATAACAAGAGACAAAACCCCAGTATTTCCATGTACATGTTTTGCATGCAAACCCTGGGTCTCGTGGGCTGCAATGTTTACCTCATGAAGAAGCGCAGGTCATTGCTTTGGGAATTCTAAAGATTAAGTTAAACAGTTCGATTTCAACGATTTCAACTATTAAGAAACGGAACCCACAGTCGGGATCCGTGACAGGTGGGTGGGCAACAGAGCCTTAAAGCTACACACTGCAAGATCCCACACCCCTCCTGCAATCCTGTCTGGAAGGCCGCCCATAGCAGCCCTCTGAAGGTTGTTTCTAGGACCAGAGAGCTCTGCTAACTGGAACCCTGGCTTCAAGGCACTTCAGGAGCATTCGAGTTAAATTTAGAGCAAATGGCTCCCTGCCGAGGGTGAGGGGCTAACTTTAATGAGCTTCAGCAAAAGAAACTCTACACCAATCACCCAGCATAAGACCAACAACACAAACTGTATTTTGAGTCACGGGAAATAGTTTAATCAAAAATACAGAAATAAGTGGCAGAGAATTTCCACAAGTCCTCACCCCCCCCCACCTGCCCCCTTGCCTCTGAGCCCGTATTGCCCCTTGGTGGGCACAATGAACCCTCTGTTCTTCCCTAAGACCAGGTCTCCACGGGAGCCCTCCACCCACTTGCCCTCCCAGCCCACTTACCTCGCTCTACTTTCTTTTATTTCCACTGCATGTATCTCTTCCCAACATTATATGACTTGTTATTATGCTTGTTTATTGTCTGTCTCTCCCACCTAGAACAGCAGCTCTCCAAGGAGCTCTCTGGGCTCAAGCCCTTTATGACCATGATAAACCCCCAGTGACCGGACCACGCCTGGTGCACTATAGATCTCACTAAGTATTTGTTACATGAATAAATGTCCCTACAGCAAACAAACTGCAAGGTCATCCACATGTACACAAGTCTTCTCTCGACTTCATGGCCTATACCTCCGGTACCCTATTTCTCAGCAAAACTTCTCAGAAGAGTTGTTTAAAATCACTATCTCGCATTCCTCTCATCCAGGTCTCTCCTAATGAATCTCTGCAGGTTTTTCAATTTTGTTAATCATTTCAAGGAAGCAGCTTTTGGCTCTGTTCATCCTCTCTGTTGAATGTGTGATTCTATGTCATTAATTGATAGTTTCCTTTATCGTTCCCTTTCTTCTATTTTCTTTGGTTCAATTTGCTACTCTTTTTCTAACTTCTTAAGAGGGATGCTTAGCTCATATGATTTGCAGCCTTCTTTGTTTCTAATATGTATTGGAAGCTTTAAATTTTCTTTTATAAGCATGGCTTTAGTGACATCCCCAAAACGGAGATGGAGAATGTACGTTAAGGTTAAGGCTCAGTTCTGTTTCATATATTTTCTAGTATCTATGATGACTTCTTCCTTAATCTATGTGTTACTTAGAGCCACATTTCTTTCTTTTTTTTTTTTAAGTAGTAAAAACAGATTTTCCTTTAAAAAAACAAAAAACAATCGCAATCGGGGAAAAGACACCTCAGTTTAGAGCTGGGCTCAATTCCTAATATAGTAAAGACAGCTGGGGATTTTTAGCCAATAAGCAGAATGAGGGACTCGGTGGATGGAAAATCAAAGGTGAATGGAATGATTCCTGCTAAACCAACTTAACAGGATCCTTCCTGACTTCATGCCAGAGTGATAAGAAGGGTGGGGAGCCTTTCTAACTTGACTGAGCAGGCTTCTTGCTGTAACTGAGCCCTGCGGAGAGCCACATTTTATTTTATTTTATTTTTTAAGGGGGTATAGTTGTTTTACAATGTTGTTAGTTGAGAGCCACATTTCTTTCTTTCTTTTTTTTTTGGTATGCGGGCCTCTCACTGTTGTGGCCTCTCCGGCTGTGGAGCACAGGCTCCGGACACGCAGGCTCAGCGGCCATGGCTCACGGGCCCAGCCGCTCCGCGGCATGTGGGATCTTCCCGGACCGGGGCACGAACCCGTGTCCCCTGCATCGGCAGGCAGACTCTCAACCACTGCGCCACCAGGGAAGCCCCACATTTCTTAATTTCTAAATTTTTGTTATTGATATCCAGCTTAATTGCAGCCTTCAGAGAACGTACTTTGAATGATGTCTATCCTTTGATGGTTGTTGAGATTCATTTTATAAAACCAGGATATGCCCAATTTTTGGAAATGTTCTATGTGTGCTTGAAAAGAATGTGTAGCATGCAGTTATTGGATATCTGTGTATTAGGTCAATTTTGTTAATTATTTTGTTCAAATCCTCTATCCTGACTGTCTGCTAATCTATTCTATCAATTACCAAGAAAAGTGCGTGAAGAATCTCCCACTATAATGATGTATTCGTATTTCTTGTACTTAGGCCAGAAGGTTAATAGCATAACCTTTTCTATATTTTGAGGTGACGCTAGTATGGTTCTACAGATTTAAAATTGTATCTCTTCTTGGTGAATTGAGCCATTTGTTATTTGAATCATTTATTTTATGAAGTTGATCCTTTTGAGCTGAATAGTTTGGGGTGTTTTTTGGCCTGCAAGTCAGTCTTCTCACACCAGTTTTCCTTCTGGTCGGTACCTGCATGGTCTGTCTTTTTCCATTCTTTTTAAAAAATAATTAATTAATTAATTTTTGGCTGCACTGGGTCTTCGTCATTGCGCGCAGGCTTCTCATTGCAGTGGCTTCTCTTGTTGCGGAGCACGGACTATAGGCATGCGGGCTTCAGTAGTTGTGGCACGTGGGCTCAGTAGTTGCGGCTCACGGGCTTAGTTGCTCTGCGGCATGTGGGACCTTCCCAGACCAGGGCTCGAACCCCTGACCCCTGCATTGGCAGGCGGATTCTTTTTTTTCTTTTTTTAAAATTAATTAATTATTTATTTATTTTTGGCTGTGTTGGGTCTTCGTTTCTGTGCGAGGGCTTTCTCTAGTTGCGGCGAGCAGGGGCCACTCTTCATCACGGTGCGTGGGCCTCTCAATGTCGCAGCCTCTCTTGTCGCGGAGCACAAGCTCCAGACACGCATGCTCAGTAGATGTGGCTCACAGGCCTAGTTGCTCCGCGGCATGTGGGATCTTCCCAGACCAGGGCTCGAACCCGTGTCCCCTGCATTGGCAGGCAGATTCTCAACCACTGCGCCACCAGGGAAGCCCTGGCAGGCGGATTCTCAACCACTGCGCCACCAGGGAAGCCCCATCTTTTTCCAGTCTTTGCTTTCAACCTTTCTGCACTTTAGGAGTTGGACGTGTCTTTTGTAACTAGCATACGTGTGGATTTTAGTTTTTTGTCCAGTCTGAAAATCTTAGTTGGAACATGTAGTCTGTTGACATTTACCATACTGCTTCGTTTTATTTTACGAACACGATATGCCAGGCAGTGTCCTCAGCACGCGACATACCCTGACACACTTAATCCTCATAGACAGGCGTATTAACTCCCTTTCCAAGGTGAGGAAACCGAGGTGCTGAGAGGTTAAGAATCTTGTCCAAAGTTTGCAAAAGAAACGGGTGGAACCAGATTGGAATCCGGGGTGTCTAGTGTGCTTGGTATTTTAAATCTTCCACTCTATTTTGTGCTTTTGATTTGTCCTGCCTATTCTATATATTAATATTTTTTCTCTCCTTTCTTGCCTTTTTGGATTATTAAAAAAAAACAAAACCGAAAACAAACAAAAATCCAGGCTTTTCCAGATCGTGCCACCTCTGCTCAAAACCTTTTATTTTCTGTTCCTCCTGCACAGAATGTAAGTTGCATGAGAACAGATGTTTTTGATGTTTTGTTCATTGCTTTATCCTCATTGCTATAGCTAGAATATTTCCTTGTACACAGTAAATGCTCGATAAACAGAGGTGAAGTGAATGGTTGAACGTGATTTGCCTTATTACCAGCAAGCGCTGCTCTGGGGTTTCAAATGTTAACCAAGTTCCACGGCCACAACCCAAGTGACAGAGAAACTTTCCTGAATGATATCAAACAATTAGAGTCTGTCAACAGCCTATAAAATGTCATTTCAGATATTTGAGTCATAACTTGTTACTCCTGTGCAAAATATAAGTGCTCACTTAGTAAACAGCAGGAGGTTTATAATACATTTATAAACCCTTTTATATTTGGTCCCAGATGTTATAAAACATACAGAGACTTTTATTTATAAAAAGTACAAAAAATTTTTATTTCATAAAATATATTTTTAATATAAAACTAGAACAAAGTTCATCATATGTGTTCCTCTTTTTAACATACTGCAACAATGTTTATAAAACGATCTATTTTTCAGGAGTTGCTCTCCCAGAGATTAAAAAAAAATCAAAACCCTCTTTTCTTTTGCATGTACTTAAACTGACTGCCTTACCAAGTTTGTTTATTTTTTGCACAACCAAGTTTTAACCCCAGCTTCAATATAACTAAATTTATGTAGGACTACAATTTGGCCTACTTATAGAGCACAAAATCTCAAGTTATCTTTTAAGTTCAAATCGCCATTAATGATGATTCACTTAATTCCGTCAGTGAGAATATAGAAGGTGAGAGAATAAAAAGTGGCTGTTCTTTTCCTTTTTCTTTTTTTTAACTGGAGTACAGTTGATTTACAATGTTGTGTTAGTTTCAGGTGTACAGCAAAGTGATTCAGTTATACATACACATATCTTTTTCTTTCCAGATTCTTTTCCCTTATAGGTTATTATAAAATATTGAGTATAGTTCCCTAAAGTGGCTTTTCAATCAGGATTATTAGCAAGTATCCCCTAAATGATGTGAAGGTATTATTCGTTATAAATGTGGGAAGGAAGTGCAAATGGGAAGAGATACTGAATCTTTTCCTAATTTTTTCTTTTCTTTTTTTGCATATGTACCAACCTACCATCCCTAGGATCAAACTTATAGAACAGCTCAGAAACCAGGGGACTCTCACAGTGGGAGCCTGGGCAGATGGGCAGGTGCTTGTCAAGAACAAGCAAATATTTATACCTCTAATGGCTGGTGATGTGTATAAGACATACTGTGACTTGTTTTCTAGATACCATCAACACACTCTATAAAAAGACAAGAAGACATGAGAATCTATAGGAAGGCTGATTTTTACTTACCCTCAAATAGAAAGACAAGTACATTTTGTATCCAAAGCTCCGACGTGGGGCTAGGGATAGGGTGGGGGTCATGCCACTTTGCTCTTCCTCATTTGTACAAAAACTTCACCTCTACACTCATGATAGAGAGAAAACAGGAGTTCCCTGGTGGCCTAGTGGTTAGGATTCCGGGCTTTCACTGCCACAACCCAGGTTCAATCCCTGGTCAGGGAACTAAGATCCTACAAGCCACGTGGTACGGCCAAACTAAACAAAAACAAACAAGCAAAAACCACCAGAAAATCTTTTTGAAGCCAGTTGGAGCCTGAGATGTCTTGTCATTGTCTGAAGATTCTTCAATCACTACATGTGCCTCTCTATCCAGAAAGCTAGAGAGGCACCATTTGTCCCCATTGGAATGGCAGGTTTTTGCAGCAATCGTTGCATATGGATTATATAGATTGAAGAGCAGGGGAAATACTAAAATGTCTGTTTATTTGATCCACATGCGCGTGGCAGCCCAAGGCTTTGTTATGGGAGCAATGACTCTTGGTGTGGGCTATTCCACGTACCGAGAATTCTGGGCAAAACCTAAACCTTGGAACAGGAGATGCTGTCTTGGTCTTGTTGGCGGTGCTTGCTTACTTAGTTAGACATCTCATATTGAGATTGTATGTTTATGTTGAAAATAAACTGGGTCAGACAATAACATGGTAATTTGAACACTGGCGTCCTTTCTTGCAGGTTTGGTTTGCCTGGTGACCAAGTTACCGTGACTAGTTCACTAGCTAGGTCATTCAGGGGTGTCAAATTAGCACAGAAGAAACATGTCACTTTTAAATGCACTTGGTAGTGGTACAATGTCCACCTTATTTTTTTTTTTAAGATTTATTTATCATTAATTTATTTTATTTATTTTTGACTGTGTCAGGTCTTAGTTGCGGCATGGGGGATCTTCGTTGTGACGCGCGGGCTTCTCTCTAGTTGTGGCGCGTGGGTTTTCTCTTCTCTAGTCGTGGCGTGCGGGTTTTCTCTTCGCTAGTTGTGGCGCACAGTCTCCAGGGTGCGTGGGCTCTGTAGTTTGTGGCATGCAGGCTCTCTCGCTGAGGCGCGCAAGCTCAGTAGTTGTGGCACGTAGGCTTAGTTGCCCCGCGGCATGTGGGATCTTAGTTCCCCGACCAGGGATCGAACCCGCGGTCCCCTGCATTGTCAGGCGGATTCTTTACCACTGGACCACCAGGGAAGTCCCCAATGTCCACCTTCTTAAACTCTTCTGATGAAATTAGTTCTAAAGAGGACAACACGCCAATCAATCCTGAAATGCTCCCAGTTAGTTGCTGCAGAATATCACATGCTTTTGATGTAACGCAGGACTCTTATTTACCCCAGTTAATTTAACTCTTTCTGACTGCCTTGTGGACTGAGCACTGTTTTGAGGGCTGGTTGGCTTTTGAGGAACGCTTTCAGGAACGGAATACAACATTATAAACCTCCTAGCAATTATATGTATGTTTTTAAACCAAACCTAAAAAGCTGATAACAGAGCTGCTTAGAAGTAGTATTTATTTCAGAATCATAGTTGTAAATATGAAAATAACTTAAGGGACTTCCCTGGTGGTGCAGTGGTTGAGAATCTACCTGCCAATGCAGGGGACATGGGTTCGATCCCCGGTCTGGGAAGATCCCACGTGCCGCAGAGCAACTAAGCCCGTGAGCCACAACTACTGAAGCCCGCGTGCCTAGAGCCCGTGCTCCACAACAAAGAGAAGCCACCGCAATGAGAAGCCCGCGCACAGCAACGAAGAGTAGCCCCTGCTCGCCGCAACTAGAGAAAAACCACACGCAGCAATGAAGACCCAACGCAGCCATAAAGAAATTAATTAATTTAAAAAAAGAAAATAATTGTAGATCCCCGTTTAGCACTTTTGTAATTGCAGGGCTATATTTTGCTGCTGTTATATTAGAATATTTTTTTTTATTGGAGTAAAATTGCTTTACAGTGTTGTGTTAGTTTCTACTGTACAATGAAGTGAATCAGCTATATGTGTACATATATCCCCTCCCTCGTGGACCTCCCCCCTGCCCCCGCATCTAGGTCATCACAGAGCACCAAGCTGAGCTCCCTGTGCTATACAGCAGGTTCCCACTAGCCATCTAGTTTACACATGGTAGTGTATTTATGTCAAACCTAATCTCCCAATTCGTCCCATCCTCCCGTTCCCCCCCGTGTCCACATGTCTGTTCTCTACATCTACGTCTCTATTCCTGCCCTACAAATGGGTTCATCTGTACCATTTTTCTAGATTCCACATATATGCGTTAATATACGATATTTGTTTTTCTCTTTCTGGCTTACTTCACTCTGTATGACAGTCTCTAGGTCCATCTACATCTCTACAAATGAGATGTTGTTCCTTTTGTTCCAATGTTGTTCCAATGTTGTTCCTTTTTGTGGCTAATATGCATTTTGAAACAGAAATGTGTTTTTTAAGTGCTAATGCAGAGGTAAATGAAAACACTTTTTTAAATGTGTATAGTATGTTTATTTTCTCTATAAGAATCATAAATATTAAACTAAATAGATCACCTATAATGGAAGTGATTTATGAGCAAACTGGTTTGGTCAGACATTATACAAACTTCGGTATGCTACAGAGTGCTCTGCTGTACTTGTGAAATTTTCTTGTCTAACCTGAATTTACATTCCATGGTGATAACATGGTAAATGTAGCATTATTAAAGTAAGTGAACACATACAAAAATGAAGAAGATAATCATATGTATTTTGTTGTCCAAACTCAGAATAATACCTATTTGTTAAAAGAATCCTCCCTGTCTTTACTAAAGCAATCCAGTAGACTACAACCAAACACACGACTGAAATAATCACTTGGATTAAAATCTGATGTAGGGCCTCCCATCTTTCCAAACCGAACTCAAATGTCTTAATAAGTCGTATTGATCCACTCTACCTTTGATCCATCTCCTTTTGAATTTCTTTATTTAGTTCATCGACTTTCTGTTGTAGCTTTTTCCTTCTCTGTTCAGGTGGGAGGTTGCTGAAATCTTCTGGAGTCGCACCCTGCAGATGCAAAAAGAAATAGAAACCTCACGGCACTCCTTGACAAAAAGACACCGAGGGAAGCCTGCGGGAAAGAGTCCCCAGACAACAGGGCAATGCAGACGTCTGCATGTGTTTTCATGAACTAAATTAAGCTCTTTCCCACGACACCCAGCTGAGATGCAAAAATCAGTGCATGCAAACTGCAAAAGGCCCGCAAACCATTTTCATGCCGGCCCAGACACCTCTGACAAGGCAGGGAGCACCGAGACAGGAAGATATACTTTTGACTCCAGAGAGGATCAATGAAAAACAAATTTGGAGACTGATTCTGCACTTTAGTGTCAGTGTCGGTGGCAACACTGAAGCTTTAGGTATGTTTCTTCACATAAAACAGTGATAAGTGCCCCCGCCAACTGTTTCATTTCGATGGCACTGCTTCCCCCCACCCCACCCAGTCTGAGTATTCCTTCCCGTCTCTTCACACAGGCTGAGGCCGAAAGTTTCCATCCCCGTGAAGTGACAGATGGGACGTCTAGTTCCTCAGAGAATGTGGGTAAAAGGGACATTAAAAAAAAAATCCCCCCCCCACCTCCCTCCCATGCACTCTTCTTGCCTCTGCTGCCTCTAAAAATCTGGTCGGTTCTTTTTCATCATCTTTAGGATCATCTCAGAGAATTCATAGAGAACACCGCCCCCAGCCCCAAATTCAAACCCAACTTCCCACAGCGTATGAAGTCAGCCTCAGCTGTTTCTAATTCATCAGAAGAAGTGTACTTTGATATCTTGATTCCCTTTCAAAAAAATTGCTCTCTCTCCTCTGTGCATGTGATTTAAGTAGAAAATATCAACCGTGAGTTTCTAGACTCCTACCTACGCTTACACGTCAGAAGCTGTACCTAAGTTGTGGCCATCAAGTGCTTTTCCTTAAATGAGGCTATTTTCATAAAGAAAGAGAAATTTATCAATAGCCAGGGATAAGCCAGGGAATTTAGAAAAGGGATTTTGCTTTAGAACCAATTAAACAAAGGCAAGACAGGCTTGCCTGGGAGTGGGTGGAAAAGAAGGGACCCGGATAATGTAATTGCAAAATTAGCTTGAGTTTGCCAAGCAGCTTACACGGGGGCTTGTGACTGAAGTTCCTAGGCTGCTTATGAGAAAACGCCAGGCTGCTGGGCTGGAAGTTTGTGATTCAGCAAATAGTTCACCACTAAGGCCACCAAAGACCTTTCAGCTAATAGTCTCAAAGACTTGTGTGCGTGTGCGTGTGTGTGTGTGTGTGTGTGTGTGTGAGTGAAAAGCAAAACAGAAGCGATTATTCCCTAATGCCAAACCAAGGAAGTTCAACTTGCTTCTAAAACTAAGATGAAGCCAAGTAATCTTCAATATAAAAATAAAGCAGACTTGTTTTCCCTTTTCCATATACTATTGTGCTATAACACTTGAAACCTTAATTAAGTGCTTTTCAATTTTCTCAACTCAATCACTGAGCCTGAAAGCTCAGTACTTTGTTCTCATGCTGAATTGACTTAAAACAGATCAGCATGTTTTCTAGAACAGAGATTTTGGTTTTGTTTTCATTTTTGTTTTAATGCTAGAATGCGACAAAACACAGCGTGAGATACACTGCTGCAGAGGTCGGCAAACCTAGTAAGCAGTCAGTGTTCATTCACACATATTTATTGAGCCTCGCTATGTGCTATGAGACCCAAAAGAACTTTCTCAGTGATGGAAATGTTCTCACATCTGCACCGTCCAATATTGTAGCCACATATGGCTGTTGAGCCCTTGAAGTGTGCCCAGTACAACTGTGGAACTGAATTTTAAAATTTTAGTTACTTTTCATTTAAATTAAGTTAAATTTAATTAAGTTACCTGTGGTGAGTGGATACCACATTGTACCACATAGGTCTAGACTGTGAACAGGTATAAGGTTTGCACTGGATAAACAGGTGCAAAAAAAACTGTAGTAAACAACACTCTAACTTATGACTTATAAATAGATGGCCCAAACAACAACAACAAACGCAACCCTGATTACCTACAAAAACGAAAGCAATTAAATAATAAATGATCCCCTTCACTTGATCAGGAGTTAGTCTAACTGACCAGTTAGGTCCCTTTCAATAGATATTCTATATTTCTGTGTTGTTATTTAAAAACTCATCCCAGTAACTATGCCTCAAACAAACTTCATGTTACCATTGGAGATTCAGGTCAACAGCTTCTTCTAGATCCAAAGAAACTCAAGGTTTCTGGAAAGTACCTTCAAAGGTTCATTTTGTCCTATTCACCTTTTGAAGCTTGAATTCTTTCGAACAATACTCTCACCTATGATTCATTTTGCCACAAAGGAATTTTTATTTCTACCTTCGAGGCAGAATAGATTTTCTGAACTCTTTGGAGGGGCCCCTAGTATACTGGCAGTACCAGGGTTTGGAAAAGGGGCCAAAATACGTATATTTTCAATGGCTGTGGCTCTAAGAGGATCTCGTTTTACCTGCTACTGGAATCAAACACTTGCTCCTGGGCAATGGCACGAGCTGCTTCTTGAGTTTTATTATTTTTACACCCAAACCATCTGTGTGTAACTTCTCTATTAGCTTCAAAGTAAGGGCATCGAGCAGCAGTTCAATACAAGGTTGGTAAAATGATTTATCTCAAACAGAAAGACTGCCCGATAATGTTATCTTTAGCTGCTAGCACGTGAGCGAAAGAACAAATAAAGGGCAAAAAAGAAATCCTGGCATCTGAGAGGCTCCCAGTTAATGGATCCAATTTCTCCCAAATTCATACTGCTGCTAATGACTGATGTTCATTTAAGATCTTTCCTTCTTGTAGAACTCTTCTCAGGATTTTATTTTGCCATCTAAGAAATGTTTAATTTAATAAAATATTCCTTTTCCTGAGGGCTGGAACAGTTGCCAAATACTGAGTCAGGTCGAAAAATTATGTATATATATGTTTATGTATGTACTGAAACACATATAGAAGTATGTATAAGGATAACCATAAAATATTGTCATACTTTCTCAACAGCAGCGCATAAAATGCTGGTCTTATCCCTGGTTGAAGTGTCACAGTTCATCACTGTCCGTAATTTTAGGATATTCTCAGCTGTGGTGTTGGAGACTATTACGTAACTTACACATATTTGAAGTACAGTAATGGGTTATGTGGTTAAGAGTTTCTTTTAATAGATTTAATGATTAGTTTGACTATTTACTAGGGCTATGGAATTAAAAGTAGAAACAACACCGAACACTAAAGAAATCGTTTTAGAAAGGCTTAGGAGGCTCTTTTCATTGTCCATAAAATCGTCTTTGATTTCTTAAATCAGCTATGCACAAGGCACCAATGTATTCATGTAGCAACTTAAAGATTTCGTGACCTCCAATTCTCGAAGGTGCCTGAGACCTGAGTTGGAGCCCGGCATCATTCCTGCATGTCTCCCTCAGGTCCCCAGCATTTTTCATCTGCTTCTGTGGCTCCCGGGGAGGAGCAATTTTCAACGATTATATTTGCTTTTATTCCGAATGATCCAATACATAAACTCCCTCATATCTAATATTCATGTTTATGTTCATATTTAAATAAAGTTTATCAACACCTGTCATCCTCTTAAGACTCCAGTGGTAAAGAAAACCAAATCATGAGTTAAGCGTTAATTTTCTTAGCAACTTGAAAAGATTACAGTCACCTCTGTTAGACTCTGGACCTTTGTATTCCAGAGGTCTAATAAAGAAACACCAACAAAAGCACACACAAGAGAAACACAAATCAACAGTTGACTCTGAAGATTTGTTGCACAATGGCACAGCACCCACAAAACATACACCAAAAAACCTGATTAGATTCAGGACATGCATGGAGGAATTGTGCTTACCAGCTTGAGAGAAAGCTTCGTGTAAAAATTGAAGGGGTAACAGGGAAAAAAAAAGAAAGCGAGAGAGAGAGAGAGAGAGAGAGAGAGAGAAACAACAACACATGAGAAGAAGAGGAACTTGGTCCATTACACTGAATTAACATAACACATCAATTCACCTAGCGCTTTGTGAAAATGATTTGTAGCGGTTCTGTGCCAAAGTTCCCAAGAGGGGCTGATCGACCAAAACCTTTCTTTAGCTGCCACGTTGCCAGAGCAAAGTATAAAGATAGAAAAGGAGAGTTTCCATTTACATTGGATTGGTCACATCAGCCTGAGTATAAACCAATATAAGTTTGCAGTCGGTGAAATAGCATGATTATAAAAAATGGAAATAATCACATAGCCTTTTGTTCACCAAATTTCCCATGGAAAGTTTCACACAGACTAAAAGCGCTGGGAAAGCAATTAGTTCCACAACATCCCAGTAATATTTTTATCTTAAGGAGATCTAATAAATACGAACAGTGGCATTTCCTAAAGGTATTAAGGCAAAGTCTCAAACTGGTAAATGGGAACAAAGGACTGGAAGATGCTCTAAGAACCAACCTCCAGGGAGCCTTTCAGCGCCTGGCTGGAGGTGGAAGCATGATGCTCTCTCCCACCTGTGGACTGCATGCACCTTTTGCTCTGCAGAAGGTGTCTTCTGGGGCTTTCTATCGAACTCAGAGCCCTACCCACAGGGGTTCTATAGAGCATCTGGGGAGTTAACAGAAGCTGCTGCTCTTACAAGTTACCTTTAGGAAATAGATAGCCAACTGTCTCAACTACTGAGGTGTACTTACTCCTTGCTATGCATTTCCTGTTAATTATCAGGACACAGCAGCTGCAATTCTGCTAGGCCCGGAGACTGGCAAAACTGTACTAATTACTGGATCCAAACCAGATTAAAAGGCATCTCAAAACTAGGAAAAGAAATATTGGTTCTTCAGAAACAGGTGAAACATGCTTTTTGGCTATAAAGCAGTATTTTGAGAGCTCGGTGCACACTTACTTAGCTGTTATCAACCCTAAAGTTTAGGCAATTGGTAGTAGGATCCAAAAATATGTCAGAGACAAAGTACCAAAGAAAGTGTCCTTTGATTTTAAATTGGGAGGGGAGTTAAAAATTCCTTAACTAGATTTTAAAAATCTTATTCTTCAGATTAACTCAAAGTTGATACTTCTTTGTGAACAAGCATTAAGCTTTTAAAGAAATTGTCCCTATGGGGAAAAGGACTTTTAAGGAAAGAAGTAGCAAGACAGAACTTTGGGGGAAACAGGTACAGTCATATTCATGACCGCTCTCACGTAGGCAACCTACATGAATGCCTTGAGCCCCTCCTGTAAACTTTAGCACAGATCTGTTCATCACAATTTGAGTTCTTTACAGACAACACTTATGGTGCACAGCAGAAAACTTTGCAAATATCTTCCCTGCGAAGCATACGACCACATACAAATGTTTCTCAGACATTACTGTGTAAATGTCGCTAATTTGAACTCGGCACTCTATCTGCTTTCTATTTGCTACTTCCATTGCTTAAAGTAATATATTCTTTCTTAAGCATTCCAAAAACAGAATTCTAACATCAAAACTAAGCATAGGAATATAACCACTTCATAATAAAAGCAAGTCATTAGGATTGAGAACAAATCCCAATTAGAGATAGGCAATATCGAATTCTCAGACAAATTCACTTTTCTGAAGTGAACAGTGATGGATAATCTACAAGAAGTGCCATCATAGTATATGGTATCCTTTTTAACAATTATAAACTGGTGTTTGGTCTTAAGCTGTAAGCCAGCCAGTTAGATCATTTCAAATTAGAAACTGAATCATCTGCCAAGAGAACACTTTTAAAGGTTGCATTAAGTGCATTGCAAGACACCTGAAGAACTAAAAAGCTGTCAGTTCCAGGCAACAATTACGGAGCCTGGGGAGCCACGAGTGTCAATAACACATGAGGGCACACAGAGCTGGCGGATCCATGTGTTATTGGGCCGTCACAGGTACTAACCTCAAGTACAAAGAAAGGGGACAGTGAACACGAATATATAAGTATCTGGTTTAAGGCCCACGGAAAGTCATTTCACTGCTCTATGACCTTACTCAGGCTTCACTGATTTTTTTGGTTGTCCCTTACGGATCCACGGATCCATCTGTTTCAGACGTGGGTGTGGGTAAGCGTGCTACACGCTGCCGTCTGCGAGAGTGTCATTCTCCCGTGACCAGCTGCCTTTTAGGGGTGAAATTCTGCCGTAAAATCATACCCAGTGACAACAGCTCAGACGGCAATCCCAATCAATGAAAAGGGGAAAAACACAAGATCAGCTCACTGACATTTTTAGGAAGTTTGATAGTTTGGTTCCTTTTTCCATGTAACTTTTCCGGAAGAAGAAGCCTGTGTGGTTGGATCGATACAGTGAGGCTTTTCCCAGTGTCCGGGTCAGAGAGCATCTGGGTCCCCAGTCTTGGTGCTGTCACAGGGGTTAGTGCCTGTGCCGTGACCGTATGACCTAGTCGTCACAGGTTAACTTACAACATAATCCCTAGCTTCAAAAGCATACGTGGGTTTCCCTATCGTCCTCTTCACGAGTTCTTTGTGAAAACAGAGAGACTGAGTCTGCCAATAATCAGCAAGAGAACAAGGTAAAATAAATAAAATGAAAGTAACCAGAAGGTAGTTACATCTGACAAACAATTGGTAGGGATTTTCAAAATCTTTTGATCAACGATGATGGTATTTTTCCGTACAATTAACTCTAAAACGTGGGGAAAATATGTCCATATTGTAGATTTAGAAGCCCCTTGCTCACACCAGAAAAAGAAATGTTAAGACAATAAAGTTACTCTGTAGACTGCAAATTGAGAACACACAATCTAGCTTCATTTTTCTTTGACTTCAGTAAAGGTGAAATAATGGTGGCATGCCAATCTTTAAAGATGTTCAATGAGACATTTGCTTACAAATGTGAATGATTTACAACAAAAAAGATTTATCCTACTTAGCTCTTCAGAAATGAAATTATTTATGTGAAGAAACGTTTGCATAGGATTTATACATTCTGATAATAGAAACAAATGATTAAAATCTGGATCTGAAACAGATGTTATTCTCCTAGAATCCTTTTCCTATCTTTGGTGCAACAGTCTTAAAGTTAAAAAGTAGAATAAATGAAATAGCAAGGACTGCAGCATTTTAGTCACGGATCCTGTACCTTCAGTTTTGAAATTGCTTTAAAATCAAATTTATTTCCCCAAACTTCAGATTTTTTTAAACTTCCTCATTTACTTCTATGATGTATTTCCTTTCCTTTTTTTTTTCTGCACTGCTACTTCCTGAAGAAAAGTACATCAAATCTGATCCTAAAAACAGATCAACGAAAAATGAGGGAAGCAAAAATATGTTTCTATTTATTTACTGATGCTTCTAGTGTGTGTGTGTGTGTGTGTGTGTGTGTGTGTGTTTATTCTTAAAAACACACTCACCGTTTAGGAAATTTTTTTAAAAAAATAGAAGTTTGCTGAGCACAGATTTGAGGTATAAGAAATAAAATTTATTTTTGCTAATTATTTTTTTTAAATGGGATAGGGTTCCCTTAATTAATCAGAATAACCTGTTTCTCATTTCACTGTTTTTGTTTTCAAGTGTTAATTTTTTCCTAGCCATCTTTTCTTACACTTATTGATTACTGACATTCTTGGTCTCTTCCTAAACATTTAGAGAACACCATGAAACATGATTCAGAAACCATTTGCAACCAACAGACTGTGATGTTGAGAGAAGAGTGGAATAGATACATACACAAATGGTAAACAGTCATGAATACTCAACATCCTTCATTACGAGATTCCAAAAGACAATGCAGAGATATTTTTATAAATATAATAAATGAGTGCTGTGTGAAGGTTTTGGAAGCAGCAGAGATGGGGTAACTGATTTACAGTTAATGTAAAATTTTATAGTCTATAGTCTAGTATAGCAACACATAGTCATATGTTGAAAATTCTTCGATGAACAAGGAGCAGAGATGGATGGAGAATTCTAAAAGCCAGCATAATGGAGACCTAATTATAGAACTCAATACCATTCATGATCCACTTTTGAAGCTATATTCTGCCTTCCAACAAGGCCTCTCTTGAAATCTTTAGGAAATTAAATTCGAATTCTTAACCTGGATATGCTGGGTAACCTTAAAACAGGATAATTCCACCAACTGCATTCTTTGCATAAAACTTTGAGATTCCATTATTAAAGGAACTCTGCATATAAAGAAATGAGGTTTTTGTCCCTTATTTTAAAAGGTAACAATGTAGCTATCTACTCTATTTACAACTTTTTCACACAGAGGAAGGGAAAAGTAAAAATTATATTTGTACAAGAACACATCCCACTACAACTATATTTCAGCTCCCACAGGACAGGACAAAAGAAAACCTTACTGGATATGTTAATGCACTTAATGTTTGTTTACTCATTATTCATTATAAAGAATATCTGGGGATGGCTTAGACTAGACTGACCATTTAGGTTTATTCAGGAGGCTAGGAATGACCTTGTTCCAATCTTTTTCTAAAAAACCGAACTGGTATCTACTTTGGATTGCTGATCAATTCCATAAAACCCTGTGACTTAAGCACATGCGATCTTAGTTAGGATGGCAAACCTGAGTCTAAATAACAACCACTTATGAGTCAATCATGGTGTAAGAGATTCCCCCTGAGTATGGACTCATAGAATCTCAGATCATAAGCAGGCTCCCTGGCTTTAAATCCTGGCTCTGTATCTTCCTAACTTCATCTTTGTATGCACCAGTTTTCTTATCAGTAAAATAAAGAACTCTTAGTACCTAGGTTCATAGGGTGGTTGAAAAAAGTAAATGAGCGCATAGAACAGTCTGGCAAACGACGAGCACTCAGTAAATGTGAGCCGCTAGTACTTCCCCCTTTAAGATAAATACTGCATTAGGCCTTTTTGCAGTCAGTCTGTTATCAGATATTTAATCAACACCTTGTACATCACCAAAATAGCTAAAGAAACCGCTGTAACCCATACCATTTCGCCTCAAACCCTGAGGCATAGCTCAGAGAAAAGGACCCTCACTACACATTGTTTCAGTAATTATTAAGCAAATATTTTCTGACTATACAGTGATTTCCAACGCCTCAAATGTTGCTAGCTTTAGAAACGAAATCTAAGTTTCCTTCTTTGGTAAAATCAAGGTAAAATATTAACGGCTTAGATGTTTCAAAAGGGAAACGGAGAAAGATCCATCCAAACTGTGCTACAGACAAAAAGAACTCTGGGGTGGCTGGCTCCCCACCCCTCCCCCACCCATCCTGCTTCCTTCCTTCTTTCCTCTCTGTGGCGCTTCTTCTTTCCGGCTATAATGAATCATAGGTTCTTATTGTTTTACGTTATGGGAAAACACAATGGAGTCATTCACAAACAAAATAAGTTATGCAGAACAAAACATGCAACCAAAGTGCACAAGAGAGACAGGATTCCAGAGCAGAACTTACCCCACGCTTTAGACTCCTGAAGCAGTGGATTTTGGGTTTGGAGGTCATGAACTCGTTGAAGCGATGGGAGAGGGGTTCCTTTTGCTGCTTGGGAGACTGGGGGCCGTTGGGAACAGCAGAGGGTGAGGCAGAGGCAGGGGGAGGTGGGGGAGGCTGATGGGGGGATGTTAAAAGGGACATAAGCTACGTGTAAGAGACGGAGCAGTGACAGAGTAAAAAATCAGAAACAAGAAGATAAGACACAAAACAAAAATAAGCATCAAATAATATTTGAAAACCCAAAGCAAGTCAAACACAAACAATTAAATATTTAGGCCATGGTCCAAAAGAAAATATGTAAGGATATGTTAAATGGGAATATGATGAAAGTGGGAGTTTTAGTAAGTAAAGCAACAGAAGAATAGCAAGAAATGTCTGACAAGAAGCTCATGCAGACTTTCACATGCAAACTACCGTTCTAATTAGTTACTCTAAACCAGTGTAAGCCAGAAGGGTAAATATTTCTAAACCACCTAAACTAACACAGCTTGATGGGAGAAAATGAAAGTCCTTAAATGCTAAGGTTGTGAAAACAGCACAGACAGTCTTGAAATATTAAATTATTCTAAGGTTACAGGAGTCACGTCGCCTTGATCATACTTTATGCCTATGTTAATGCTGTCATGCACTTACGTATCACACTATAAAAAGAAAATGAAAAATGTTCATGGATACATATGTTAACATGAGTTGGAAACCAAGATATTAACCCATGGAAACAATTTCAGTTAGATATGCTGATACATGGTTATAGAAATGTTGTACAATTTCCCTTCTCCCAGCCCAGGTAACCAGCAATCTAGGAGACTTAGGAGTGAAAGGCATGATGCAAAAGCCAGAGGTCAGTAATCTGTTAGTGTGGGTGACACGGTGCAGGTGATAACGCGTCTGAAATAAGACACATGGCCATGGCCAAGGTACCATCACCAAAGAGAGATACTGTCTTAAAATAAAATAGCACACTAGCTTTTTTTTTTGCATTCTGAAACAAGCTTAAAATCTTCGTTCCTTTAAGACTAAAAGATAAAGTGAACGTCTCCACACTTTGTAACACTCATTTCACACTGGGTCCAGCCATCAGTACCTTATTTTTTTTGATGAACGGCCATAACTTTCCTTTGGATTTGCCACCAAATTTGAGCTCTGATTTGCCTTCTCCTCTGGAATTCGAAAGGCTGTTATCTGACACAGTGCGCTTCATCGGCTGAGTGTAATCCTCAAATTCAATGTCTCCAGGCGGCTCAAAACCGGACTTATAAGCTTCTATGGCCAGCTGTGAATCCTGAAATTACACCCATCACACACCAATACGTTCAAATGCATGCAAATACCTTATACACAATGAACTATGATGACCTCATACAGGTGATATTCTAAATAAGTTATATTGATTAATAATAGATTTTCTAGTAATATTTTTATCATTAGAAAGAATAATTTGTAAAGCTACATGTCTAGCTGAGATTTGAAGATACTTTTAATAATTAACCATTTTTCTACATTTACAGAAACAAATATTAATTAAGAATGACTTTGCTAACAGCAGAAAAATTGGGCCATTTATTATGCGATTCCCTTGAAAAATACAGTAGTACAAACACTGGTCTCATCAGAAGGTCTTAAAGCAATTTGGCATACACAAAGTCAAAGCAAAGAGTATATAATCTCTCTGATTTCTTTGGTTAATTGTGGTTCAAAGATATGAATTTATTGAATAATTTTTCTTTATGTATATATTTGTTCACAGTCTCTCCTCTACTAGAATGTAAGCTCCCTTCTGTTTTTCCTCCACTGTGTCCCTAGTACCTAGATGGTGTCTGGTGATAATGGTGCAATAAATGTTTGCTGAATAAATCAGTGAACTGATTGCCTACTCTGTGGTGTGCACCCTGCTAGGAACTTTGAGTTCAGAATCTTCTTGGGGTTAGGTGGTGAAGACCAATGTGTAAGGAAATGGCAACTATCGTGCCAAAGATAGATAGATAGATGTATAGTTAAACTGTTACAAAAGCACATGTGATGTGTAATAACTTTCTAACTCAATGATCATCTGATTTAAAAAATCTACTAGATGGCACTTCCCTTGTGGTGCAGTGGCTAAGAATCCGCCTGCCAAGGCAGGGGACATGGGTTCGAGCCTTGGTCCGGGAAGATCCCCCATGCCGTGAAACAACTAAGCCCGTGCACCACAACTACTGAGCCTGCGCTCTAGAGCCTGCGAGCCACAACTACTGAGCCCACGTGCCTAGAGCCCGTGTTCCGCAACAAGAAAAGCCGCCGCGATGAGAAGCCCACGCACTGCAATGAAGAGTAGCCCCTGCTTGCCGCAACTAGAGAAAGCCCACGTGCAGCAACAAAGACCCAATGCAGCCAAAAATAAATACAAAATAAATAAATAAATAAATCTTAAAGAAAAAAAAACAACTACTAGAGAAGACAATTTGGAAAAATCTCAACTTCCTACAGTGAGCCCACATTTTAATTTGCCGTAGCTATTTCAGTGGACACCGATTTTGTAGGTGTGCCATAGGTGTCAATTGTCTTGCAATAGCCAATCACCCTTCCTTCTTAGTAACAAGAACCCTGATTTTAAGTCAGGCACATGGCCACCCAGCAAAAAGGCTTCACTCCCCAGTCTTCTGTACAGCAGGAGGTGGCCCCTAAGTTTTGACCTCTGAGATCTCTTGAGATGTAGGCAGAAGTACAGGGAGCAATTTTGGAAGCCTCTTTAAAGAGATGGCATGGGCCCTTCTCTATATAACATTTTCTGGAATTTGGATGTGATGGTTGGAGCTACAGAAGCCATATTGAGTTTGAAAGTCATATCATCAAAAGCTGTGAACTAGGAGAAGCCTGGGTCGCTGAGAAGTTGCAGACCATCTGCCCATACCATGGTTGGACCCTCTTGCCTCTAGACATTTTTACATGGAAGGAAAAATAAACCACCTTAAGACACTATTGCCATTGTTATATGAACCTAAACCTATACTAGCAGATTCAGCTGTTCAGTCCTAAGTGTGCCAGTGACTATACTAACCCAAAACACAGAAGGCCGAATTAAAAAACTCTCAAGTGGTGCTGCTACTGTTGAAAAGTATTTGTGACCACTGAAAGCAACTACTTTCAGGTGATTAAATATGGTCACTGTGGAAAGGGGCAGGGAAATAATGGGACAGCAAACTCTTAGTTATAAATTAAGTCCAAACTACAGTACTTACATTTTTCGGATCAATTGACTCGGCTGCCTTTACTATTCCATCCAAGCACTTCCCGATGATTGGAATCACCTGCCGATCCAGCTCTGCATACGTCTTCACTGATTCTCCAATTCTCACTATCCTCCTCTCCTCCATCTCTTGTATTTTCTGAAACATTAGAATTTGCATAAAATTAATTTGGTCCACTGTTTTCTGGGTTTTTAAAAAATTAATTAAATTTTGGCTGCGTTGGGTCTTTGTTGCTGTGCGCGGGCTTTCTCTAGTTGTGGCGAGTGGGGGCTACTCTTCGTTGTGATGCGCGGGCTTCTCATTGCGGTGGCTTCTCTGGTTGCGGAGCATGGGCTCTAGGTGCACGGGCTCAGTAGTTGTGGCTCGTGGGCTCTAGAGTGCAGGCTCAGTAGTTGTGGCACTCAGGCTTAGTTGCTCTGTGACATGTGGGATCTTCCCAGAGCAGGGCTCGAACCCGTGTCCCCTGCATTGGCAGGCAGATTCTTAACCACTACGCCACCAAGGAAGCCCCAATTTGGTCCACTGTTACTTAAGGAAGTTGTTTTTTGGCAGCACTGCTACCTCTAAAAAATTCTCTAGGCGGGAAGTAGGCCTATAAAAAGGTTAGAGTTACAGCAACCGTAAATTTCTTGTGCCTCTACCTTAGCCAGCTGGACACCTATTTTATGAATTGCTGGGCTGCCTAAATGTACACTTTACCCAATTCCATTCCAATTTCAGTAAGAACCCGAAACTCAAGTAGTTTTACTATTAACACCATTTGGTATTAGATTTTAAACATCTCCTCCATCTTTGAGGCACTGCTTTGTCCTTTACCAAAAGTATGGTATTTGGTTAACTGCCTTGACCCAACACAGACGTACATTAACTAGTAGTATACTTGCCTTCTACAAGCTGGAGGTTCTTGTCTGCCATGTAGACACTATGACACAAATATTTATTATTTTTTCTACAGTTGGACTTTAATTTGTAAAAAATTCCCAGAGTGGGAATGTATGTATCTTTTCTCATACGATTTTTGACAACCTAAAGTAGCCAAAAGAAAAACAATCCAAAGGAAAGAACTGTCATCTATTTAAATCCTACACCTGTCTCAATGCTGCTTAGATTCCTAAAGGTTAATTTGGAATTTTTGTAACCAGAATGGTCCTTTTAGCAAAAAGAGTGTTCATCTGAGGATCACAGTTCTAAGACTGACCAAGAATGGCTGCAGGGGCAAGCCAAGGAAGTTTGCAAAGGCTATCGATTAATCTTGAGATTCATGTTATATTTCATCTTAATGTCAGTCAGTGCTTGATCTGAATGTTTTAAAAAATGACTTGAATTAGAGGAAACTTAGAATTATATAAATACTTAGAATATAAGCCCAGAAATCATGATTCCAAGGCTACATTTTTCTAAGCAAAGCAAATCTGAGAGATCTGAACTCCTTACCTGAAAGATATTGGGAATGTGAGTATGGTAATATTCATGCTGCTCGTGGTTGAATTTCTGAAGAATTGATGAGTAATCTGCTTTGCTGTCCTCTGCCATTTGGTGACGCATTTGAGCTTGTTGTCGTGCCTTAGGGCAAAAAATGAGAATACCCCCATGTTTACACATAATAAGTAAAAGCCTAGGATTGCAAACTGGAGGAACTGGGGGATCAAATTTACCTCCCATTTGTTGTATTCAGCAGGTGCTGTTTTAAAAAAAAAATGTTTAAACAATCCAATCCAAAAACGGGCAGAAGACCTGAAAAGACATTACTCCAAAGAAGACACATAGATGGCCAACAGGCACATGAAAAGATGCTCGACATCACTAATTATTACAGAAATGCAAGTCAAAACAACAGTGAAATATCACCTCGCATCTGTCAAAATGGCTATCAGGAAAAAGTCTACAAATAACAAATGTTGGTTAGGATGTAGAGAAAAGTGAACCCTTGTACACTATTGGTGCAGCCCCTATGGAAAACAATATAGAGGTTCCTCAAAAAACTAAAAATAAAACTACCATATGATCCAGCAATTCCACTCTTGGGTATATATCCAGAAAAAAAATGGAAACATTAATTCGAAAAGATACATGCACCCCAATGTTCATAGCAGCACTATTTACAATAGCCAAGACATGGAAGCAACCCAGGTGTCTATCAACAGATGACTGGATTAGGAAGATGTGACATACACACACACACGCACACACACACACACACACACATACACACACAATGGAATATTACTAAGATATAAAAAAGAATGAAATACTGACATTTGTGGCAACATGGATGACCCTAGAAAATATTATGCTTAGTGAAATAAGTCAGACGGAGAAAGACAAATACTGTATGAGATCACTTACACGTGGAATCTAAAAAAAATAGTACAAATGAATATCAGACTCACAGCTGGAAAACAAACTTGTGGTTACCAAAGGGGAAAGGTACAAATTAGGGGTATGGGATTAACGATACAAGCTACTATATTTATAATAGATAAGCAACAAGGATATACTGTATAGCACAGGGAATTATGGCCATTATCTTGTAATAACCTATAGTGGAGTATAGTCTGCAAAAATACTGAATCACTATGCTGTACACCTGAAACTAACATAATATTATAAATCAACTGCAATTCAATTTAAAAAAAAAAGAAAAAGGAGAAAGAAATTATTTAGAATTTGAATTTACTTTAGGCAAGGATGTGCACCCTAATTTTTCACAAACATCAACATTCTCTATTGTCTTAACTTGGCATTACTTTCTAGTTTGACACATATGCCAACATTCTTTATTGTCTGCACTTGGCCCAATTCGCACATTTATGTTACCTAGATTTAGGTTCCCTTATGGGAACCGCTGATCATATTTTTTATATCCTGAGGAGGGGACAGGCGATCTATAAATTTTTTAATCCAATTCTCAACGGAGTTCATGAATTAAAAAGGCATATCGGAGGCTTCCCTGGTGGTGCAGTGGTTGAGAATTCACCTGCCAATGCAGGGGACACGAGTGTGATCCCTGGTCCAGGAAGATCCCACATATCGCGGAGCAACTAAGCCCACGAGCCACAACTACTGAAGCCCGCGCGCCTAGAGCCCGTGCTCTGCAACAAGAGAAGCCCGCCGCAATGAGAAGCCCGCGCACCGCAACGAAGAGTAGCCCCCGCTCACCGCAACTAGAGAAAGCCTGTGCACAGCAGTGAAGACCCAAAGCAGCTAAAAATAAATAAATAAATATTTTTTAAAAAGGTACATGAACCACTGATCTAAAGGGACCTTTCTAAAACTCTCCACTATGTTTATTTTCAGAATATACTTTAAAGAAGCAGTAAGTACGGTGCTCTCTTTGTGCTTTTTATGTGTGTGTGTGCACGCGTGCATGCTATTTTGTGTTTTACTGAATTGCTTTTCTCCTAAATAATAATAGAATTCATACATTTGTCTCTCTCTTCTCATTCATTTTTTGGCTAATTACACACAGGCAAGAAAGGGGCTCTTAGTGACAAGTTGCAGAATCGATTTGAAAGTTCAAACAAGAATGTCTGTAACATCGAAAGTCCTCCACAAATAGCAGATTGTTATGCTGGTAACAGCTCCTCAGATTCCTCCAGCACCTTGGAGGCGCCTTGATAAATACAATCTCATGAATCTCTAAGACAATCTGAGGTCCGTGCAGGGCAACAACTACCCCCTGCCAGATGAAGAGATGGCTTGGCCTGTATACTGGGCAAACTTACCACACTGAACCAAGAACACAACAGGAAAAGGGCCTTGTTCCAACATACCCAAGGCAACTTTTGTTTGTTGTTTTGTCTTGTTTTACTGAACCTAACTGCTTAAAAAAAGAAAAAGAAAAAACAAAGAACCGTTCAAATGCCAACACGAAGAAGAAAGGCTGGAGTCGTTTGTCCCACTCTGTCTGATCACTGGTACCAGATCGGTTTCTTCGCACCTCCATGTCCTTCGTTGGTTTCCTGCCTCTGTGACTTGAAGGCTTAACCTGATTTCACTTCCTTGATATGCTTCGCTCATCTGTGTATCCGTGAAAGCCCGAGGTGGTCATTCAGAGCTGCTTCCTTTATTTTCTTCTCTGTTCATACGTAAACACTTCCCAAATGCAGGGAACAATATTAATATTTCCAAACTGATTTCCTTATTACCTGAGGCTTCTTAGTTTCTTAAGACCTTTAGGTACCTCAAAACCAATTTACCAACTTCTCACCTCCCCTCAGTTAGTTCAGCTGCCGCATTCTTCCTCTTTGTCAGCGGACTGTTAACTCCCTTCCTGACCATGCACTCTGGCTTCCGCTTTACTATGTTCACTAGCAAATACATAAGCTAGTCCCCAGCTACCCTGCAAAATCCGTGCCTTTCCAACACACAGTAACCCTCCTCCACTTGAATAGTAGCCTCCCCACCTACGTGCACTCCATCTGTTCCCCTGATGCAACCAACTCAAAAATCCTTTTAACTCTTTCAATTACCTAGAATTTTATCATTTCTCATTCTATTATGACGATGGGGAAAAAAAAAAAAACATACAAGGAAATTCCCAGGTAACCTCCCACTTCTAAAAAATTCTCTCTTTCATTTACAAAATTTCCTCAGAAAACAAGTCTCAGAGAAATCCCAGGGGAGGGAGGTTCCGTCATCTCTTTTCTAAGGAGAGTAGCAAGATGGACAGTCTCCTTATTTATTTTGCAGAAATGATTCTAATTTGGTGAAAACTTAAAATAGCTTAGTTCTGAAACAGAGATCAGAATGTCATCATTAAATATGCACTTATGTGTGTATACACACACACACACACACCCCACATAAGCAGATTAATGTTTCCTGACAATCAAGCCATCATAACGACCATGGAATATTTTACTCATGAGAACTGCAGGTGAGCCTGCCAGAGGTACCCCAGCACCATCTGACTGGAAGTGGTCGTCATCCTCTAACCTCTGAACTCCCCAGAATCTCTAATCATGTTTTTGCTTTGGCTATATAACTGCTTTTATTAATATAAATTCATAATAGTTTAATATTAATTAAACTATTAATATTAATTCATAATAATTAATTCATAATAGTTTCACAGTGCCCTGCACAATGCATTCCTGAAATGTAACTAGGTGACCAGTAAACTATGGAAGAAACTGAGATAAGGAAGAACATGGATAAAATCCAGCCTGGAAAGTGAGCTGAGTAGAAGAAAACAAACAGACTCCAGAGGGAATGGGTCTACCTTTTGTAAAGGAAGCATGATCTCTCTGGGAGTTTTCTTGAAAGGAAAAGTTTGGACCTGAGGTTGCAAAAGCCGCTGTACCTCTGCAGATTCTCTCTGACTCACTAAAAGGATAAAGCAACATTTAAAAGCAGCAAAATATTGTCGCACATCAGATTCTGCAAGGCCACCGCAGGAAGACGGGACCATCTTACTCTCAATCCCAGCATCCAGCTGCTTTGAATTAATACCCACTGTTGAATCCAGGCCCAGGAATGTGCCATTGTTCTGACCAAGATTTACTATGGAAATCTATTTTTGTTTCGTAAGCTGCTGTGTTTATTTTGCGATGGAACTTCAAGACTCTCTCTCTAAAACTAGTGCTGAGTCAGTTACTCATTACTACAAATATGTTTTTAAAAATATCTTTAAAAGTATTTTCAAAAACTTATTTGGAGTAACCGCTAAGTAACTAGATATTTTCGAGAGTGTATCTCCTAATGACTAAGGCTACATGAAGATTAGAAGCATCACTTCTCCTCCCTTTTTAAGTCCATCTGAAAATAGCAACTATTATCTTAAAGAGGTATAGTATTTCTATTCTCAGCCAGACCATTAGCTATTTCTTTTCATTCATGTTCTCATTCTAAAAGATACTGCATCTTATAGCAATATTACTGTAGGGCAGAGAGAAGGTCAGAGGATTTTTTTTTTTTTAATGACTCAGAGTTACAGAATTTAGAGATAACATTCTAAAAAAGTCCAGAATGACCACAACTGCCTGAGGCTGTAATTCACAGACATCTTTAAATAAGAACTACACCAGTTTCACTGTCAATCAGAAAGACTGAATTTAAATTTTAGAATTTCTTTGACAAATCCTTGGGAATCTCCCCAAAGAAATCCAAATAGGCCTAAGTATGTATTGCTTAAGCGCTACTTCACTGCTTAGTAATTCTTAACACCTCTAACTCAACATCCTATGGAAATAAAGTTGTGCTGCCTAAAACGTCAGAGTTACAGTTTCTAAATAAAGAAAACAAGATTTTAGAAACTGAGCTGCAGCCCAATGCTTCTAAATCCTCACAGGTTTAAAGACAAAAATACTAAAATCCATTTAGTTAGTTAAATTTAGATGATTAGCATGGCCAAAATGTGTATTTCCTGTTCAATTCGCTATTACTTTTTCCTTAATATTTCAAATATTAAGAAGAAAACACCGCTGGCTGAGTCCCAATTGTCATAAACAGAGAAAATGAGCTATACTAAGGAATGTGTTTACTTTCACACAGGGAATGGGGTTATACTTACTAGGTTATACCCTCACATCTTTTATCAGGGCTGCTTATAGCTTTTGACT